GTTCTCTGGCTTCCTACCCTGCTTTGGCCCCAGCTTCCTGACTCTCCGTGGGGGTAAAAAGGCCCCTTTCAGGATCCAGGAAGAAGACGCTGTAAGCTTCTCATGTCAGCTCTAGGGAACAGTGGAGGTAAAACCAACCATGTGTAAGGCGCCTGGGCCTGGGAGATGCCTAGGGAGGGCCGGGCCGTGGTTTCTGTCCACCACACTCTAGTTGAGGACTTGAAGCCTGTACATAAAAAGCCATATAGACACGGGACATGTACTGTGGCACGAGAAAGGAACAGATGGAGTGCCCTGGCGTTTCACTGAGGGAGGGGCATTGAGATGAGACCTCGCGTAAGTGTGTCGCAGGTGGAAAGGACATAGGACACAAAAGGAACAGCACAGATAAATGTGTAAAAGCGCTGAGTCATTCAAGACGAATGGTAAATGCCAGAAAGCCAACTGGTAAAAGAAGGGAACAGGGCTGGGAAGGACCCCGAGTGAGAAAGAGCCTCGGAAACCGGGACCTCAGTGCCATTAGGAGGCTCTCCCTTTCTCACTCCATCTCTTACCTCTGCCGTTCTTCAGCCTGGGACTCACGCTTTCCTGCTGTCCCGCCTCCCTGCAGCGAACAGGGCCGTGGAAGCCTCGAACAGGGAAGGCCAGGGAAGCATTCTAATTGGCCTTCTTAGGTCACATGTGCTCCCCTTGGACCAATCACTGTTGGCAAGGAGGCAAGGCGCGCCCTAATTGGCCGGGCTGGGATAACTCAGTAGTTATCAGTCTCCTCCAAGCGGGAAGCTCTTAGGAGGAACAGGGTACTTGAGGTGAGCCCGCAGGGAGAATGCATTTAGAGGAAAAAGAAGGGTGTAGAAGAGGGCTCAGGGCCCAGAGGTTTCCAGGCACAGCTGTGACCAGGGTTTTTGGAATTCCTCTCTGGGATTGTGGTCAGCCCTATGGAGGAAGTTCTTGGACAACCCTGTCTTTGCTACCGAAGATTCAGGGCAGACTTTCCTTATCTTTTTCTCATCCATTTTCTTGCCGTTTTCCTCTCTTTTACCCTAGAATATTCCCAACACTGTTAAGGATGGTTTAGCTTATCGAGGCCGAGTCTTCCTGGAGTTAATCACGCACATCAAGTCCCATCAAGACACTAGGATGAAGGATCTCTCCCATGATGTAATCACCGTAGAGGTAATAGGAAATAGGTAATCCAGGAAGAAAGAGCCCCTCTGTCCGCCCCTAGTCTGCTGTGAGTCCCGTTCCTGACACTGCAAGAGGCCCTGGCCACGAGTGGAATGCACTTCTGGGGGTGTGAGAATGTTTGATCAATCTACTGAGTCTTTACTAAGCCCATTTGGGGGGCTTCCTGCTGTGCCAAGTCCCAGGAGGTCAGGGAACCTAGTAAAGACAAGTTAAGGTTTCGGTTTAAGAGATGTGTAGTCTAGTTAAGGAGAAAAGATCTTCTATAGGAGTCTAGATTTCTTCCTGAAGGCTAAGGAGGGCCATTGAGGCAGGAAGGGCTGGAGGAGCAGTGTTAAGAATAGATTGGAGGGGAGTAAATTAGATGTATAGAGGCAAGGGCATAGAAACTTGCTGCAGAATGGAAGGAGACAAGTTCAAGTCATAGCTAAATAAGGGGTTTAGAGGGGAAAAGAGGGTTGTTTTTTTTTTAAGACAGGAGATTTGAGATAGTGAACAGACTGGGAGAATGCAAACGTATGGCAGAGGTTGGCAACAGAAATGAGAGAGGAGCTAATGTGATGGAGAGAGGACCAGAGCAGACGGGAGTGTGGTGGGAGGAGGTGGCTCGAGAAGGGCCAAGAGCAGATGTATGTGTGTGTGCATCCTCCACGGCATACCCATGCCCACAGTCAGTCTCATCAGAGGGCAGTGTTTAGGCAAAAAGGAGAGGGATGTGGTGACCCACATGGGTAGAGGTGGGGTAGCCCAACTCAGATCCAGGCTGAAGAAGGAGAAGACCCTCCTGCCTGACTTCAAGAAGAGAAGGAACCAGGGCTGGCTAAGTAGAGCGAGCCAGGTGATGGAGGTCCTGGGATGAACTTCCTTTGATCAGTGAATGGAGGTCAAGGCAGATTTTGAGAGAGGTCAGGGGTTCAGCATTGGTCTAGCTCACCCCAAAGAGAAGCAAAGATGACTTTGAAAGAAACAGGGAACTTTGGGCTTGCCTCCCTGCCTGTCTCTCAGCCTTGTCCATCCCTTGGCTTATGTACTGGGGGTGTGGGGGGTTATTGTTTTAGAAGCACCAGAACCGCCAAAAGTATGGGCTGTGCGTCATCTTCCTCTCCTGTACCATGATGCCCAACTTTAAGGACCTGATCCAATTCGAGGTCAGCATTGGCCACTATGGAAACAAGATGGACCTGAGTTACAAGCCTCTCGTCTCAACCACACAGTACAGCCCAGTGATATATGATGGTAAGAGTCAGATCCAACCACTGCAGAGAGCAGCCACTGCATCCTGGGCTCCATGCTTGGCCCTTTTAAGGGTATTAGCTCATGGACTGTTCATGGGCATTGTTAACCCACATTTCACATGTGAGGAAAATCAGCTTCAAGGAGGTGAATCACCTGCCAAACACTGCACAGCTAGTAGGTAGTGAACCCACAACAAGAAATGAAACTAGGTTTTGACTTCAAGTCCGTCTTTATATGATATTCCACACTAGGACTTTCCAACCCCATCTTCTCTCCTACGACTTTGAACCACCCCCATCCATCCATGCAGCTACCACCACTACTCATCTTCCTGCCTTCTGTCCATCCATTAATCCATTTATCCACTCATTCATCCATTCAACTACCACCCATCCACTATCCCAAGCACCCAATTAACCACCCATCCATCCTTTCATCGAATGTGTACTTATAGGACACTTATATTGGGGACTGTAAAGTACCACTCGTCAAAGTGCAACCCCTGGGCTAGCAGCAGCAGCAGCAGCACTTGGGAACTGATCGAAATGCAGACTCTTGGTCCCACCCCAGAGCTACAGAATCAGAAAACAGAACAGCTGTGTTTTAACAGGCCCTCCAGGGGACTGGGATGCATGCTAAAGTTTGAGAACCACTGCTCCAGAGGAACGCTGTGTCATTTTCATCTTTGTCATCTCCACCATCTCATCACCCACTGAGAGCTTTCCCATGCATCTCACTTGTCTGCCTTTTTTTTTTTAAGAACAGCCTGATTGAAATTTAATTCACATACCATACAATTCATGCATATAAAGTATACAACTCAATAGTTTTTAGTAAATTCAAAGAATTGTGCAACTACACCATGGTCAATTTTACCACATTTTCATCACCACAAAAAGAAACCCTGTACCCACTAGAAGTCAGTCTCTATTTCTCCCTTACCTCCCTAGCCTTAGGGAACGATTAGCTACTTTCTGTCTCTCTAGAGTTTCCTATTCTGGACACCTCATACACATGGAGTCACACAGTATCTGGTCCTTGGTGACTGCTTCTTTCATTTAGAATGGACTACTTGTTTCTAAACTATGAAATTATACAAAAAGTATATTAAATACATATGTATAGTTTAAAGAATAATAAAGTGTGCACCCATGAACTCACCGCCTAGCTTAAAAGGTAGAAAATTGGGGGTTTTAAAAATATTTTATTTATTATTGTATTATTTTTATTTTGGCAGGGGGTAAGTAATTAGGTTTATTTATTTTTAGAGGAGGTACTGAGGGTTGAACCCAGGACCTTGTGCATGCTAAGTATGCATTCTACCACTTGAGCTATGCCCTCCCCACCTGGAAAATTATCTAAGCATCTTAGAAGTTCCCTGTATACTCTTCTCAGATCCATTTATCCAAGAAATAGCTGCAATCCTGAGTCTTGTGATAATCATATCCTTGCTTTTCTTTTTAATTTTTACCACCTACCTATGCTACCCTAAACAGCATACTGTTTTTGCATTTTATGTAAATGTAACCTTTCAGTCTCTATTCATCTATTTTGCATGCTTTTCTCAATATTAAAATGTTTATATTGGTATGCATGACTGAAGTTCATTTTCATTTCTGTATATATTCCACTGCATGATTATACCACAAATTATGTGGTATATCTAGGCATTTAGGATGTATCTCCTTTTTTCCACAATAATAATTTTGTTGTAAACATTCTTGTATATGTCTCTTGGTCACAAGTGCAAGACTTCCTCTAAATTATATACCCAGGAGTGGAAGATAAATTCAAAGCAAAAATAATTATACCAAATTGCACTCTCATCAGCATAATATGAGAGTTCCTATTTCTCTGTGTTCTCATCAGTACTTGACATTGCTCAGCCTTTTCATTCCTGCCAATCGGTGGGTATTTTACAAGATCTTGATTTGCATTTTCCTGATTATACATGGAGGATGAGCATCTTTTCATTTGCTTACAACCATTTGTCTTTCCTCATCTATAAAAAGCCAATCGATATCTTTTATCCATTATTCTATTTGTCTGTATTTTTCATATTAATTTGGACATTATTTTTTCTGGGAAAAATCTTTCGTCAGATGTGTGTATTGTAAATGTCTTCTCCAAGTTTGGGGCTTCTCATTCTCTTAATGGTGGCTTTTTTTCTTGCAGTATTATTTACAAACAGTAAAATGCACAGACCTGAAGTGTACAGTTGGATGAATTTTGGCAAACACATACATCCATGTAACCACCTCACGTAGAAAGTTCTATTACCCCATAAAGTTCCCACATGCCCCTTTTAGTTAATCTCCCCAACCCCCCAGGAACAATCATTGTTGTGCTGTCTCTCACGATAGATTTGTTTTGCTTGTTCTACAACCTCATATAAATGAAATCATACATATGGCACCCTTTCTTTTCCTGTGGCTTCTTTAGCTCAGCCGAGTGTTTTCACCTGTGTTGTCACATATTTTGTTATTTTGCTCCTTTTTATTTCTGATAGTATTCCGTTATATGAATATGACAGTTTACTTAGCCATTCCCCTGTTTACGGACATTTAGATTGATTCAGGTTTTGGAGTATTCTGAGTAAAGCCGCTATGAACCTTCTTATACAAATCTTTTTGTGGAAATGTGCTTGCGTTTTGCTTGGGTAAATACCTAGGAATGGAATTGGGTTTGAAAGAAAATTACCTAACATCTTCCCAAAGTGGTTGCACCATTTTACAAGCCCCCAGCAATGCTTGAGGGCTCCATTTGCTCCACATCTTTGCCAACTGTTGTTCTTGTTCATTTGAGTCGTTCAGATGGCTGTGAAGCTGAACCTCGTTGTGATGTTTCATTTCCATTTCTGTAATCGCTGATGCTATGAGCGTCTTTTCATGCTCACATTTCTTTCTTTACTGAAGGGATTGTTCAAGATTTTGCCTCTCTTTCTCTGGGTTGTTTGTCTTTTTATACTGCATTGTAAGCGTTCTTGTATGTTTTGAATGCAAGTCCTTTGTCAGATAGGGTCTGCTGATTATTTTCCTCCGCTCTGTGGCTTGACTTTTCCACTTCCGAGCAGTGTCTTTGGAAGATCAAAAGTTTCTAATTTTGATGAAGTTCAATTTGTTGATTATCTTATCTTTTAGAATAGTACATTGTGTGATCTAAGAAATATTTGTCCACCCCAAGATCATGAAGATATTCTGCTGTGTTTCATTCTATAAGCTTTATTGGTTTAGCTCCTTTGTTTAGGTTTATGATCTAACTTGACTTAATTTGTTTATATAATGTGAGAAAAAGCTCAGGATTCTTTTTTTTTTTTCTATACAGATACCCAGTTCAGCACCGTTTGTTGAAAAGACTGTTCATTCCCACATTGAATTACCCTGACACCTTTGGTGAAAATTGTTAACCAACCATCTAGAATCTCTTTTCAGTTCCCTTGGTCTGCTGGTCTCTATGCCAATATCACACTGTCTTGATTACTGTAACTTAGAGCAATTCTTGAAGGCAGGTAGTGTAAGTCTTCCAACCTGGTTGCTCTTTTACAAAATAATACAATTTCTGGCTATTTTGGTTCCTTTTCATTTTCGTACAAATTTTAGCATTAGCTTGATGATTTCTACAAAAAAAAAAAAAGACTGCTGGAATTTTCCTGTCTTCTGTTTTAATCAGATGTGTTTTGTTTTAGTTTCAGTATTGCATTCTGTCTCCTCTATTGACTTACTAGCTATACATCTTTGATTATTTTTAGTTGTTGCTTAAGGGGACTACTTAAGTGATCCTTAACTTTTCAGAGTCTACCTTGAGTTAATATTATACAACTTCACATACAATAATATAATTATTATAGTATTATATATAATATGTAATACAATTATAATAGTATAATTGCATTTTCACCTTATCTTTGTTATACATTCTGGAATTGGCTTGCTAATATTTTGTTTAGGATTTTTGCATCTATATTTATGAGTGAGATTGATCTGTAATTTTTTTTTCTGGTAATGTCCTTGTTTGGCTTTAATATAGGAGTTATGCTAACTTTATGAAAACGATTGAGTAGCATTTCCTCTTTTCACTCCCTAGGAACATTTGGGCAAGACTGGAATCATGTGTTTCTTGAAGGTTGAGCAGAACTCACCTCCAAATATGAGGCTGATGGGTTTTTTCTGCAATGATTTAAATACGGATTTATTTTACTTTATGACTATTCAGCTTTTCTATTTCTTTTTAGGTCAATTTTGGCAAGTTTAATTTGTCTAGGAAGTTATTAATTTCATTTAAATTTTCGAATTTCTCAGCATAAAATTGTTCATAATATTTTAAAAATTTTTATTGTGCCAAAATATACATAATCCTCCCTAAATGTTGTACCATTCTACCCTCCCGCAATGTGTGAAAGACCTATCAAAATCTGGTAAAAACTTTTGGATTTTTATTAGTCTGATAAGTGAAAAATGGTATCTTGGTGTAGTTGTCGTTTGTATTTCTCTCATTATAAATGAGGTTAGACATATTTTCATATGTTTAAAAGTCATTTGAATCTCCCTTTCTGTTAATTGACTGTTTATATGATTTTTCTCTTTTATTCTATCAGGATGTTGGTCATTTTCTTATTAATTGCTAGGATTCCTTCATATGTTAGGGGGATTAGGACTTTGTGATATGAGCTGTAAATATTTTTCCCTTATTTGTCTCATATCTTTGCTTATGGCGTTCTAGGATTTTTGTTTTTTGGTTTTTTTTCTTCTCCATGAAGACTTTTTTTTGGTATGCACTCAAACTATTTCTTTTATGGCCTCTGGCTTCTGAGTCATAATAAGAAAGATCTTTTCCATTCCGAATTTATTAAAGAATTCTCTCATATTTCCTTCTAAAAGTTTGTGGTTTCTTAAATTTGAATGTCTTTTATCTTTCTGATATTTTTTCCTATAAACTTCTTCATCTTTTTGTCTGGCTGCCCAAAGCTTCCTTCTTTATCTTGAAAGTCCAATAACTTCAATAGGATGTGGTCAAGT